TCTTCTCCTCCTGCAGCGCGAACTTCTGCCCTGCAGCACAAACCCCTCGATCACCATTACAAACTCACAAAAGCTTACAACACATTCTTTCATAAGAGGATTCATTGGGCCGACAAAGAAGTCGTCTTCTCCTGCAGCGCGAACTTCTGACCTGCAGCAAAAACCCCCGATCACCATTACAAACTCACAAAAGCTTACAACACATTCTTTCATAAGATAGATTCGTCAGGCCGACACCACCGTCTACTTCTCCAGCAGCGCGAACTCCTGCCCTGCAGCACAAACCCCACGTTCACCATTACACACCCACACGAGCTATTCACTTACAACCACTCTTTCACAAGAGGATCATTAGGCCGACAGCACAGTCTTCTCCTCCAGCAGCGCGAACTTCTGACCTGCAGTACAAAGCATTCGAAATACAGACGAGAGCACCGAATTCTCCTCTAGCAAACCGAACTGCAGACCTGCAGCACAAAATCCTTTGAAATGCAGACGACAGCACTCTTTTTTTCAACAGCGCGAACTTCTCAGCTGCACACAATCCAAATACACACGATAGATATTATTAGGCAAATTAAACATTACGCAAAATTTGAATTTGACCGTAATACGCACCAATGCAGTTCCTGGAGCCAGCGCTGAAGGGCACGTAGGCGTATGGGTGGCGGCCCTGCACTTTCTCTGGCAGGAAGTTGTCTGGATTGAACTCGTCGGGGTTGGGGAAGTACTTGGGGTTGCGGTTAACATGATAAATTTGAATAGTAACGTGAGTGGCCGCCGGTAAAAGATATTCTCCTGTGCAAGTAATCAGAGCATTAATTAAAGAAATCATGTTTCTAAATGGAAATTCCGTAATAAATGATTATCTTAGGCTAATATTTTATAAATGTTCTAAATGACAAATAGTAGTTTCGTATGGAGATTGTGAGCATTAAAAATGGTACAAAATGCGAATTAGTATATCAATTATTTTATACGAAATTTCACATACCAACTTGGACCTCTTCTGTAAGTGCGCGACCAATAAATGGAACACTAGGATACAGCCTCAGAGATTCCTTTATCACACGTTCCAAATATTTCATTTCTGCTACATCCTGCGTCGTTGGCAATCTGTCAGAACCCTGAAATATCTTCGACTGTTCGTCAAAAACTCGTTCCTGGAATGATGCAATATTACGAAAAATATTTAACAAACTTTTGACTCCTTATAGACACTAAGCATGGCATTGACCTCAAAGCTCGAGTTTATGATTGAGGAGACTTGTAAATTTTATACAACTTGAAATTTGTGTCGTTTAAGACATCGAAAATAATTTCATGACATTTAGAAAATAATTTCGGTAAATATACTTAATTAAAAGTACTGTTTTATAACATATCATTCAATTGATTACATTTATATGAGATTTTTAAGTGGTGTAATGTAAATTCATTTCCAATAGGTAGATAGAGTTCAACAAGTGGAATTCTACGTCTATCTGTGGCATGTCTCTTGGTGAATATGGTTATTAAGTTACACGAATGATGAATTATTATTTCTATATCCACGTGTTTATATTTCTGGAAATTTAGCACTTTCCAACACTAATCATGGAATTGAGAAGAATAACTCTAGAACACCAATCAGGTTTTACAATTGTGCATACTAATCATAAGTTTAATTTATTCGCATTGTAACATTTGCATTTAAAATTCAAGTAAAATATTTTTTTGCGTTTGTTTGATTATACCCTTGTTTGTTCATTTGCGAGCATGAATTATATTGTGTGAAAGTAATTTCGAAGGTTGTATATTTGAAACACATATTTGCGTACAGAACGGAATAACGCTAAAAAGAAGCAATTTTGAACACAAAACCGCAATCTAAGAGAAATAATGTTCGAGAAGAGTAGGACATAGTTTCTTTTTATATTCACCGTTAGTAAACTTCCTTCATGAAGGAAAATATATCATAGAGTATTCCTTTTCATGAATAGTGCCTTCTTTTTCTTTTTGAAATTTAACAAATGAATATATTGAACAGTTTTCTGATGATAAGCTTAGAATTTTTACCCTTTATGGCTCATCATCGGTTTTCCTTCTACTTTTCTAATTTTGGCGTATTTTGTCTAGAGTGTTTTGCCTCTTTGGCTGGAATGAACTTTAGGATGACATCACATTTCTTGAAACTAGTGGTGTTACAGAACGGCACAGATTTTCCCGTATTAGTTTTGTATTTCGTTTGGTTTTGGCAAGCTATTCGCACTAGCCACATATTCTTGCAAGCTGCCATCTATCGCCGCTCAAAGTACATTTTTTGACATTTAGGTTTCCTAATAATAGAACGGAAATATTATTTTAAAAATATTAAATAACATTAACCTCATCCTAAATGGTAGTTTTCTTAGAAAAAAGTGGAGCAGCTTTTAAGAAAATGGTATTTAAGCGATATTCTATATTCGAAATTTGAAACACTTTTCACAGAAAACAATTGAGTTTTCCAAAAAGTGACATCATTTCAAGCACTTCCAGTAACACATGCAATAGTGTTTATAAATTGCTGTAAATGTGCATATTAAAGGTATGAGCGATCTTTAAAAATGTATTATTTGTAATTTTTGAAAATACATACGAATACAGTAAAGTTAATTCTATGTCATCTTAAACAATGCAATTAGCACTATTAGTTGGGAAAGTGTGAAGAAAAAATTCGGAGCTCTTTTTGAGAAAATGGTGTATGAGAGTTTCTGAATTGCGGAATTGTGAACTCATTTTCACAGAAAACTGTTGAGTGATCGGGAAACTTTATCTCACATTATTTAAAGCACGTGTACTTTAATGTACATAAATACATTAATGTCAAGAAATTGCCGCTCATGTAAAAGTTAACGGAGTGAGAGAAAAGTAAAAAAAAATACATTTTTGTATTTTTTGAAAAAACAAAAGGATAGAGCAATATTGTGTTTATGTCATCTTACAGAGTCCATTTAGCACAATTCCTACCAAACGTTGAAAGAAAAATATTGGAGACATTTTTGAGAAAATGTTCTCTTTGTAATTTTTTTAAATTGCACATATTGCTCGCAATATTGCACGAAAACTACTAAAATTTTTAAAAAACGGTACATGACCTTAATGTAAGAACTCTCTATGGAGAACAAATTATATTTGAAGGAAAAATCTGTATTTTCAATTTTGTAGTTGTATGACGAGACCCGAAAAAAGTTTTAAATTTTGAAATTTTCAAAAATTCAGAGTAAATCCCGCAAAAATGATATATGCCATCTTTATAAGGGGATTTTCCCCCAATTCTTGCAATAAATTTAAAGAAAACATTTGGAGATGATTTTGAGAAAATTTGGAAAATGTCCGGAGAGCTTGATGTAAAGTACCCCCAAATTTTAAAGAACATTTTTCAAAATCTCAAAGATTAGATTCGTGCCAGATCTACACGGGTTTCTTCAATTTGGAAAAATCCTAATTTAGGCGATAGTAGTGTTCACAGACGGAAGGACGGACAGGCGGACGTTTTGAAAAAAAAAAAAAAACATTTTTCGGAATCTGGGGACCCCAAAACGTATATTTACGTTGAAATCTCGAAATTAATTTTCCGTAGCATTACATAACTTTCCCTATATTACTCCGTATATACATACGTATACGGGAAAGTAAACGAAAATGCATTAAGTAAAATTTCCTTACGGTTATGACTAGTAAACACGGATGTACGTATAATACGATTATTATTCGACCCTATGCCCATGCGTTTCAAGTAATCACACACTCCTTTCCTTGTCATGAGCTCACCTGAATTTGAGGATAATTGCCTAGAAGGAAGAGCGTCCAACACAGGCTGGCCGAAGTTGTGTCGTGACCCTAAAAGAAATTGAATTAAAGAAGAGGTGCTTGTTAATCAACAGAGGCAACAATAACATTTCATTAAAAAACTCACTAATTTCTTCCTTCATAACGTCACATATGCAACATCTACTTTTCTTTCCCTTTTTGTGCATCTAATGTGAATCCTTAAGTCACTAAAAAGAGCCCGTCTGAGTTCAGCTCCTGAATATTCGTTTTACGTTCTAAAAATTTCAGATGACCAGTAGGAATAAACGACCCACTGAAACTTTTCCCCATCTTAATGTTATTACCAAACGATCACTCAGATTTTTAAAAAAATGCATGAACATTTAAATACCTACAATTGAATGAATTCATGTAGAAAACATTCAACCCACAATAATCTACGTATTTGAATAATGGCTTTGTTATCATATAATTTCGAGAAGCAAGAATGTACGGCGAAAATTATACGTGTGCGCGATGTGGCTGCAAAAATGTTAGAAATATTACACATTTTCACTAAACAGAAAAAACAGAAACCCCAAAACATGTCGTTCAGTATTAAGTCTGGAAGACACGAAATGGGTCAGGTTTACATATTCTGGGCGGGAAGGGCAGACAGGAGCAGAGGAAAGCAAAAGCAGAGCGGTGAAAAACAGACCAGAGGGAAGTGGGGAAGAGTAGGGAGTGCAGAGCAGAGCAGGGGGCGGGACGGAGCGGTGTAGAGTAGAGACAAAGAGCGGGGCGGAGCAGAGAGGAAGGACAGAGAAGGTGGAGGGACGGGGTGGAGAATAGCAGAGAGGAGTAGAACGGGCGGGGAGAGGCGGAGTAGAGCGACGCATAGCAGAGCAGAGGAGAGAAGAGCAGTTCACGGCGCTAGAGAGCAGAGCAGTGAGGGGTAGAGGAGAGAGTGCGGGGCAAAGCCTCAGGACAGTACAGCGGAGAAGATCGGTGTAGAGCAGAGATGAAGGAGCAGAGAAGAACAGAGAGGTGCATTGCAGAGCATATGCAGAGCAGAACGGGGCGGTGTAGAAGGGAGTACATCAGAACAGAGCAGAGAGGGAGAACCAGGGCAGAGGAGAGGAGAGCGGAGCGCTGCATAAGCAGAGTGCGGCAGAGTAGAGCAGAGGGGCGTGGCAGAGTGCGAGGGAGATCAGGGCGCCACGAGGCGGGGTTAAGCATAAAAGAACAGAGCGGGCGGAGCAGAGCGGAACGGATAGGTCGTTGCAGAACGAGCCAGTATTGCTATAGAAAGGAATATTGCCAGAATTTAATATTTGACTGCTATACGCAGAAGGCGAGAAAGTAAAAATAATAGTTCACGCTTTCGCATTTATTACCTAAGGATGTTGTGTATGGTCGTACCTCGAACATGAACGTGTCCACCTCTTCTCGTATCTCCTCGTCCGTGAGCTTCCCGCCCTCCTCCGACGCCTCCAGCAACAGGTCCAGGAACGCCCTCCTGCGCTTCTTACCTGGGAGGCGAACATTGAAAAAATCACTATTACTAATTGATAAGGCAGATTCTGATTGATTCTAATTAACTGAAGTAGAGATGAAAATGATCAAGTAGATCGAGGTATTGAAGACGCAGCGTTCCGATGAAATTGTTATCATTTACTTGCTGTCGTTCCCGCAAAATAACTTATTATATCAGTTATTTTATAACATTTCTACAAATCGTAAGTAAACAAATGGTTTTGTATTCTTCTGAATGCTGAGGGTTCAAAAATTCTATCCTCATAATCATTTTTCCGTCCTTCACTATTATTATGGAAAGTGTATTAGTTCTATAAATATCCAGTTATGAACCTCATACATTATAATGGATACTAGAGTTTTGTCCTTCAGGTCATTCTCTACAAAATGAGACATTCCTGTCCCTTCTTTTTACTTCGACTTGTAACGTATAGTTCAGAGTCTAGTCGCACCAAGTTGAGTTTCCGTCATAACTGGATGCAAAAAGAAAAGGTTTTTGGTAAAGAGAAATAACAAAAATCGTAGAAATAATATCCCTGCCGGTGCGTGTACGAACAGGTTTTATTCGTGTGCACATCGCTAACTGAATATCTAACTGAATTACTGGTTTGCAAATTTAATTGTTGCACGTTTGACAACAAGCCAAGTTTGATGTGAGATTGAAAATATTACTTGTACATTTTATGTTAAAACATAATCACGGAAAATACTTAGTCATGTTCATTTTCCTTTTTTCTTGAAGACAATATTTTGTTTTAATCATTGTATTGTTTTCATACATTAAAGTAACATCCAATAAGAGTATTAAAAATGTACAATTATTTGTGGAGTAATACAATTTCGACCACTCATCACATATGATATGCTTTACTAGATAAATTTGCTACGTGTCACCTATTTCTCTATATCAAGATATAGAATGCAAGAATTTTGCAACTCTGTAATGCCCAATATTTTGTCTAATGCGTGATAAAATTATATATTATTTCGTCGGCAGTGGATGTGTTGAAATAAAAGTATGTAAAGTGTAAAGTAAATGAAGTTTAAACAATAATAAGCACATTTGCTCTATTATTAATAGTCTCTGAAATGCATATCCTGCGATCTTTTTTTCAACGGTAGTTGAATTTACAAATCTGACAGTTTTTGATGTTTTTAACTGAAAAATAATCTTAATTGCTCAGGCACACGTTTTTTTTCTGAAAATTCATCGATAGATATTTGTCGACGTTCATAAATCTCGAATATTTGCGAAGGAGATATACACCTTTATTACTTTTGCTCACCAAGTACATCAGGTTCCTCTTCTATATAATGTTTTTTCATAAGGCTTAATTTTCTTTCGTTGATAACCTGTAACAAATGAATACCACTGTACCTATGATCACGTGATCTGTGAAGCTAAGTAGGGGAAAGATAAAATTCTTCTATTACGGATCATAAGATCAATTTCTATCATGGGTATCATGGGTATCACGGGTAACCGAAGGTTGCGAACGTGACTAATGAGTTTGGACCCAATATACAAAAATTCTCACCAAACGGAACACAATTATCATCGGAGGGCAGAACGACATTAATTTGAGAGGTCATTTTGCAACTAACCAGCGTATTGATAAACAATAACGTTCCGCCCAATGTTTTTGAGCATAATTCGGTTACAGTAATTTTATTCAAACGGAGCATCTCTAATTCTTGTACACACAGTCAACCGTCCGCACCGAACACCTTACCTTGGTGGTGAAAGAATGAAGAGTGTTGAGGCACTGTTTGTATTTTTTGCCATCTCGAGTCAGAGAATATATGAAATCCGAGTGCAGCCAAGGACGCAACATTCGTCCGAGTGTTAGTTCTGATGCTCTGGAATTAAAAATAAAATACAACCGCTTACAGAATAAGTTCCAGGAGATACTTTCTTAATAATCCCACACTCACGAGGGCAAATTTCAGAGCGCTGCCAGAGCTCCATTTGCTCGGTCGAGAGATTCATCCTCGAGTGCCTTTCGTTCGAGCTTCCCGTGATCGATAGCGTGCGCTGATTGGCAGGTCGCGACCGGTCGAGTAGTTTTATATTCATTTATTTTTTACAAAATAACTCAGTTCGACATATTTCAACCGTGATATTTCATCGCTCTTTAATTATTCAGAACGTGAAACGATAACGAGGTGTAAACCGAAATGTTTTACCTTCCTTCATTCGATGAAAATGCGCCGGAACGGAAAGAACTCAAGAAAATAGTAAGATGTGATTCACTATAAAACAGGCGATCAGTAGCAAGACTCTGCGCTTTGTATAAAGCTTATAGTGGTTATCCATCTTGGAAAGAAATTAATCGGCGGCTAAATATCCCTACATACATCAGTAGGGGGATCACAGTCACAAAATAAATTGAAGACCGCATCGAACGATAACGGAATGAAATCGATTGCCTGCCGAAACCTTTGAACCCTTTCCTCGAAGCGTTCAATAGTTTAGAAAACTAATTTAAGGTATTACTAAGTAAATGAGGGAGTTAACTAAGAATAGTCATAAAGCGATGCATAAGTGATATATTGTGAAGTAAGGTGTCATGCAGTGTAGAGCAGAGAAATACTGACAGAATGATTTAAGTGTCATAGTGAAGTGCAGTGCAGTGTGGTTTCAATTGAACAAACATTCAGTGTGGAATTAGATTATAGAAGTTTCTTTTTCTTAAGGTAATTTTATGTTTTATAAATCAGTCATTTTCTATATTATATTATTATTATTATTATTACAATTATTATTATTACAGTTATTTTTATTGTTATTATATAATTTCATGTTAATTTTATATCTTATTTGTGTAATTGGCTGCAACCGGCTTCTACCCAATTGAAGTTTAAATAAATTTTTGATATTTATATTATGTTTATGAAGAAGCTTCCTAAATGGTAAAAGCAGGGGAATTTTCGTTCCCACTGCCACCACCTCCCCGATAATCTTTATTTGGAATCCACCGAATTTGAAACTTTATGAAACAAAATGCCATGATAGTAATTGAATAATGGAAATTCTAATTGAATACTTGAAATATTTTTTATTTTATTTTTATGAGTATTTTTTTATTTTCTGAAGTTGGACTAAGCTGTTTTTAAGTTTAATTTTCATTAACATACGACACACCCGTTACCTTATAAATTAATCAACAAAGATTGCCATGTCTAAAATTATGTGTCTGTGTCAAAACTACAGTGTCTAAACTTAAAATTGCGTGTAGGTACATGCATTCAAGTCACTTTCTTTGATGTCGGCATCTCTTACTTTACATACCAGAGAAGCCGTTTCTCTAGCCTAAGGTAGGTTGCACTTTTCATTCCAACTTGTTCACATTATTTGTATTCCAACTTCCATTCTACTACGCGACATCATTAATTTAACGACCGGGAGAGGTGGCTGAGAGCATCAACTCATGTCACTGAGCGCCTCTGACCGAGAGATCCTCGATTCGAGTCCCCACGGTAACAGGATTTCGACACTAGCTTGTCAGCTGTACCCTATAAAACGGATCACGGACCACGCGCAATCTTTCCTTCCTCTTCCTTGTCCTATCCTCACCTCTTCTCACACACACCAACATGCACTGCACTACCACACTATTTCTTGAAAAAGACAAATGTTTTTATACACACATACCTGTATATTGCGGAAACATAGGGCGAATGAGAGTCTTCTTGAGCGTTGATTTCTGTTCCCATGGCCGTTTCTGAAAAGAAAGAAAAATGTTACAAAACTTTCTCTCTACTACGTATATTACTTTGTATATATGTACGTATACTAGACAGTAAATTTGAAGCCTTTTATAGAAAATATTTACATGAAAAATTATTGTAGAGAAAATAATTCTTAAAAAAAATAAAGATGGCGGACATATTACAAAAAATTACGTAAAAATTTACACATATTTTTAAAAAATTGAACATGACCTTATTTCAAGATCTGTTTTTGAACATTTTATTGAAGAAAAAATTTCAATTTTTAATATTTTAGTTCGAGAAAGACGCCGAAAAACTGTGACCTTTTGCAATGTGCGAAAAATTATGGATTTAAAAAAATGAAACCTGCAACATTCTTTTAAGAGTTCTCTGTGTTATCTCAGGACAAAGTTATCAGCATCGTATTATTTTTTAACTTTTAATTACATTCTCGCTTACTCCTTACGAATTTATGTACTTTTCGCGCTTCATTTCTGTGAGAATTTTTTAAATTGTAGGTGAAGTGTCAGAGAGAAAATTTTATATTACAATATTACATAACCATTTACAATATCGCGAGAAAGTACGTTCTGTCGGAGTATCACTACTTTTTTTCGCTAACGTTGACCCACACCTTCAGACAGGCACATGGACGTTTTGCCGTCCATCGATTTTTCGGCATCACATAGCCCCAACACATGTATTCTGACTACACAACGTTTTAGAGGAAGTAATTTACTATGTATAGGAGAAACATTTATCCATTTTTACTTTCTGGACTTATTTCTTGAGACGAGAAAGTACTGTAATCGTGCGAGTTTTCGTTGTAGAAACCGGGCCCTGGGCACGTTTGTCCTCGCATTTGTAGTCTTCACTATTTGTGCTATATCCTCCTGTAATGCTTACCGCAAATGATGTCCAAAGCACACAGAGTAATGTACGGGTACACATCAAATCCTTCGGTGTTCCCGACTTCCTTCTCCAACTTCTGCACGAGGATGCTGCTCTTCTCGGCGAAGACTTCTTGGAAAGCTTCCAGAATCTTGAAATGAAAGGTGGGTGTGATGAGCTTGCGGTGGGAGTGCCACTTTTTGCCTGCGAAAATACGCAAAGTTAGTTAACTGAAAATGCAAGTAAATATCGGAAAATTCAGTAGACAATAAACGAAACGATTTTACCTGAACTGGTGAGGAGGCCCTTTCCAAGCCACGGTTCAAGGAATTTGTATGTAAATGCTTTGTCAATGTTAACAGAACTTCTAAATATTGCCTGTAAAAAAGCAGTTATCTGTATTGTTAATTGCCAATGCAGGCAAAAATTAAAAGACGTCTATGAAAACTGGTCATATGAGAGGTGTCTATGGTTTTGTTAGATGCACAGGAACTCGAGGAAAATCCCAAAACAATGAAACAATTTTGATTTTGAATGAAAAATGCTAATGTCTAATTGTGTTGCACCGCAAGATATGGTACTGCAGGCACCGAGTAAATTCTTATTCTCAGTGCGTCACAGCTTATACTTAGCTGCTGTCAAAGCTAACGACATGAGATTGGAAGGCCCCAAGGAAAAGGCCGCCAGCCATTAAATGTCTGCTATTCACCTGTTGCGTTATGGAACAGCAAACACATATATAATATATATATATTATATATATATAGTATATATATATATATATATATATTAATATTATATATATATATATATATATATAATATATATATATTATATATATAATATATATAATATTGCGCGACAGCCGCCGGACAAAGCCTGGGGACCAACTAACAGCGTCCGGGCATCGCTGTCATGAGTTGAGGGGTACGTGCGGTCAGCTCGCAGCTCGAAGACTTTCCTACGCCGTATTGTGGTCTTCTCAATCAGAGAAATTAGTTTTCTCATCTTCACTAAATTTTAAGCATATTTTGTCTTTGCCTAATAAACTCCTTGGATATTCCGAATGGTCAATCCGCAAAAAGGCAGTCAAAAGTTGATTTGAAATACTTTCTATGCAAAAATTTGTATTGCAGAAACATATGAACACTCCAGAAACGTAAATTGTTTATTATTTACATAAGAAATGAATATATTTCTTCAGAAAGAAAAATTTAGCAGTCGAATTGTGTAAATTGAGTATTTTTGATTTCAATGTTAATTTTTCTTTCTGAACAAATATATTCAAGGAAATATATTTTTCTACATTATACTTTTCATCATGTGCAAGGGTACAAGGTGTGTTCAGAAAGTAATGCAATTTTTTAAAACCAATATATTGATTGAAGATATTGGTAGAACGTTTAATACTCTTTGACGTGATTCTCTTGAGCATCCATCCACTTTTGCGAGTGACTGTACGCGTCCGGGAAGGCTTCAATGAGGACTTCGGGAAGGGTACACCTCACGGTGTCTTGGATGGCATCTATCGATCCAAAACGGATTCATTTCAGGACACTCTCAATCTTCGGGAAGAGAAAGAAGTCGGTCGAGTCATGCCCGGATTCTAGGGAGGTTCTGGTTGTGTTGACAAGTTGTGCTTCTCTTGATACTCGAACGTGCATTGCGGTGTGGTTAGGAGTATTGTCCTTGTGAGTGGCGATCTCCTTTCCCACTTCGACAACCCTTTTTCGCAATCTTTCCAGCTCATCGACGTAGTAGGTAGCGTTCAGAGTTTGGCTTTGAGGAATGAACTCTCTGTGGACCACACCTTTGGCATCGAAAAAAATCTTCCCTTTTGATTTGCTCGTTTGCTAGGTTTTTTTTCGGTTTTGGGGACGCTGAGGTATGCCACTCGGAGCTTTGACGTATTGTTTCTAAGTCGTACTCAAAACCTCATGTTTCGTCCTCGGTAATACATGGACCAAAAAATTGGGCTCGATTTCCACACGTTCAAGTTCACTGCGATGGTGATTCTTCTTCTGACCGCCATTCAGCAGCTTGGGAAGAAGCTTGGGAAACACCTTCCTCCTGTACCATTTATCGGTTACCACTTTGTGTGCAATTGTTTTGGGAATGTTGATAGTTTCTGCAATTATCTGGATACTCAACCGACGGCCAGAATTAAACAGATCGCGCACACGGGTCAAATTATCGTCGCTTGAGCTGGTTGGAGGTCGTCCTGCACGAGGTGCGTCGACCACATCTTCCCGGCCCTCCTTAAACGCTTTCAAGCACCTCGGGACTAGACAACCAACTACGAATATAACGAAACGAAACTAACAACTAACTCGAATATGTTATAGCATTGACCTCATATGCTTGAACAATCAATTAGTGGGTCTCCGCAAAAGAGTTGTATAATTTCGAACAAAACCTCATTCGAGCATACCTGTGCTCGATTGACGATTGAATCGCGATTCGTGACGCACGCACTAAACAGAGGTACGCGGAGACTGAGATCCTAACGCCCCAACTGCTCGGAGCAGACTGGCAAAAGCATCGCTTTAAGCTGAGTCTCCCCCATCTAACCCAACTGATAGGAACTGCGGTCATTTTAAGTACTTGCACCAAAAAAAAAAGCTTTACATTCTGAATATACATATACCTTGTATAACCTATAAATATTTTGAGTACCACTGATTTAAGTGAATGACGTAGATTAATTACCCACATTCCTTCATCTATAATAACAATCAAACGATTACAAAATATAAATATATACTTCAACATGTTCAGCATCTGACATGATCACTTCTGCAACAGGTCCATTCCAGGTCCTCCATATGGGCCCGAATTTTTTTGTATCCTCTTCGACCGCTGCAAAGAATTCTGCAACACAACGATTAGACAAATTTGTCTCTCATTCACAAACCAAAAGTTAATTTAAATAATAGAAGATAAGAAACGATATCACTTTCTCTCGTAAGGTTGAATACTTCGTAACCATTCCCAATGACAGGTAAAGCAAAACGCCCAGGAATCTTGTTGATGGCTTGTACAAATTGTTTCCGTTTTGGATCAGATTGCATGTATATCCAAATTGGAATCACTAGTGCCACAAGAGCGTAAATAATTGTACTAAGCTCCATCTGAAAAATACGAAATGAAATTAAAGGGCAACAGAAACTATTATTCAAGAGGTGAAATTGATTCAGTATGTGTGTTAAAGCTTTGGGGATCTAATGTTGCCGTCCCCAAACAAAACAAAACCGAACATATGTCTTAATAAATTTGTCTTGAATTTATGTTCAGAACTATTCATTTAAACATAGAACAGCAATATGAAAGAATGTTAAGAACGAAAGAAATTAGTAGTGCTCCAAGAGCACATACTTTCTCGCATTATTTGTAACTTTTTCGATTTTCAAAATTCAGAGTTCAATTAAAATGCTCCATTTTGTAAGATACTTCGCACTATCTGAAAAAATGTAAAGAAAAATTTCGAGCCGTTTTTGAAAAGGTCTTGTAGTTTTTAAAATTGCCTTTATTTCACTCTCTATTACGCAAAATGTCATACTTTGAAAAAATTGTACATGACATCATTTGAAGATCTCATTTTGAGGAATAGATTTTGTGAAGAAAAAAATATTCACTATTATAGTTGAAGGAAGACATTGAAAAAAAAATTTACAACTTTAAATTTTTCAGAGAAAACACCGAAAATGGAACCTGCCCAATTTTAAAAAGAGTAATTTCCTCAAAAATTGAAAAAAATGTAGCTATTTTTCAGAATAGTTTGAAAATGTTGGGGCCTCATGTGTATGTATGTACTTGGTGCGACAGCCCGTGAACGGGCTCAGGCCAACCGGCGACGTCCTTGCCTCGCGGCCATGGGTTAAGGGGGTACGTGTGTTTAGCACGTAGACATCCCCACGCCGTTTTCCGATCTCTTCAACCTGAGAAGTGAATTTTCCCATCGTCACACAGCAACATACACTGGGACATTGCAAGGAAAACGCACACTATAATCTTGCCTGACCGGGAATCGACCCCGGCGCCGCATAGTGGAAAGCGAGCACGCTGACCAAGAGACGGCCTCATGTGTAGTACACTCGAAAACTCAAAACATCCGTTTCAAATTCACTGGGCCGCGACATCATCCACATTGAAAGGGGAATATCATGTTTGCGAACATTCTGTCTGTGGTTTAACCGTTAGATTTGTTCACATTCGGATAGATTGACGGACGGAAATTTTGTTGCCCTAAAAACGTTATTCGTTATCAAGCACTCACAAAACTGATTTTGTTACGTAATTATTATAGGGGGGTTCAAGAACACGTTACAAGTACGTTACATGGGGGAAAGGAAGTATTCAAAATACTCCAAATTCACGTAATTTATGGACGGCCCCTACGAGTAAGAGAAAGCATATGAACAGAAGGTAGAGATACATCAACAGTATATGGATTATAAACAAACAAACAATACTATAGATAGGATTGAAATGATTAAGGCATTATGTGAATTTGAAGTACCGTTTAATGTGGCAAGTTTGTTACAAAAGATCTTTCAGGGCTCGAGTAATGTCTTTTAATTTCAGGAGAAAATATCTAAGGAATTCACTACACAATGTGCATTGAAGTAAGGAAATGAACTGACTACTATATTGTTTAACATATGCTTGAAGAAAACAGTACGGAATATTGAGTTCGATCCTAGCGGAACAATTTTGAATGGAACAGTGCAAAGTTTGGCTTACGAAAATGACGTAGTAATAATTAGTAGAACACCGAAAAGAAGCATTACAGCAATTGATGAAATGTACTCAAGGTATGGGTTTGGAAAAAAATTAAGAGAAAAAATGAGAATAAGAAGTATCAGTAAACCACAATATATGAAGATATGAGGAAACAAAAATATTTAATGAGTGAATGTCATCGAATTCCTAGGTTTCTTAATAACAGAAAACAACGTCATAGAACAAGACATTAAAAAGAGAATAACAGGAAGTAATAGTCGTAGATGTTATGATAGTCTCCACCAAATCTTTAAAATCCGAAGAATCTCAAAGAACTCTTAAGTTGAAATTATATATCACCATCATTGTCAGTGGTATCGTACGATAGTGAAACTTGAACTCTAACAAAGAAAACACCAAACATACTCGCTATATGGGAGAGACAAATCGTACGAAAAATATTTGACCCGATCAAAAAAAGAAATTAAATCTGAAGAAGACGATCAAACGCAGAATTGGAAGAACTAGGTAAAACACCCAACGTAGTTCCGGTTTAGGTGAAAACACTTGACTGGTTGGGTCATCTTATTCGAAAGAATAAAGAGAGAGTCGTTAGTAAGGAATACGTAGGGAGCATAACCGGTAGAGGAGGTAGAGGTAGGCCTAGATTAAGATAGAATGATGAGGTGGAGTAATATTTGAGATACCTAGGTGTTAAAAGATGGCGAAGAAAAGCAGATGCAGAAATTGGGCTGTTATAATCAGAGAAACCGAGGCAAAACTATTGTGCACCGGGAAAGCCTCTTCGCAGTGTGACCATGCTGATGAGAGTGCTAGCAAGATAAATTATTTTGGTATCACGAGCACCAGGCAGCGCTGGCACCGTCCGAAGGGGGTGAAGAAGCTGCGGGGGAGGAGGGGGCGAATTGATGGCACGCATGCGGCACGAGCTCCGCGCACGGCAGTGAAGCTGAGAGCGGAAGGGGGGTGGCGCAGCAACTTTCGACTCGAATCGGTGCGGAGATACTTTCCAAGCCTGCTTGCGAGTGCCGGAGACCTGATAGAAGAAGAAGGAGAAGGAGAAGAAGAAGAAGAAGAAGAAGAAGAAGACTACGTTTGAGATATCCTTAAATTGAACTTTCTTCGGGCCAAAAGACCAATAACGAAACATAAGTAATATAAAGGTTACGTAAAATAATGTTTTGTCGATAAATGAAGTCTATATTGATTTTGAAGTATCCAATCATATAATGAAACTGTTGTTAATTGCCCTTATTCTTTTTTGACTTTATTTTTGGACTCAGATGCGTTGTCACTTGTTAATATTTACCGGTTATAAATTATAATTTTTTAATCTGATTGAAAAATAATAAATGTGACCTCCATCAAATTACTCCCCCTACGTGAACATTAATGGCAGAATGAAAAACATCGATGTTTCATTAATATCAATGTTTTAATTCTGATTATGTTTAGAAACGTCGATGTTTTGTCGCATCCCTAGATGCTGGTCGTCCTGTCCGACAGCACAGATGACCTCCGATAGGTTATCGTAAGAAGCGCGCGTCGTTTGTTAGTCCCTAGGTCACCAACGATCCAACATCCAACGTTGCCTATTAACACAACTAATTGTGATACCAGCAGGTAGCAGCGTGTTATTTCTAACCTGCTGATTCAATTGAGGTCTTAAAATACTCGTAATTATTGTACAATACAACGATGAAAGAGATTGAATTATTTGACGTAATATCTTTATTTCTGAAGCCCTCAATGCCTTAATATTTTCGTGATTTTACAAATTACTTTTACAAACTATTACAAGAAATTTGAATATCTAATCATGTCGGACACACCTTTATCGTGGTTATCGTTTTTCAAACTGAAGATAAAAACAGGGTAAATCACCTTTGCTAGACCTCACATGATATAGCCTTATGGAGGATTAAAGGATTTCATATTATCTCATACCGCATCCCAATTTTAGAACAATCATTTGAAGAATGGGTCTAAAAGAGTTATATAAACAATTTCACATCACAATTTTACTCTTACTAACACTTCTCTTATAACAACTCATTTTATATTAATGAAACTTGACAGCAACATTATGTATAAAAAATAATGTCAATTCAGTTTCATAGGCATGAGCCACGGAAGGCGTATACCTCTAAATTATTACCATTTACCTCTCAATGGACGTTAATAGTTATTTATGTATCCTCTGAATTAGTCTTTCAGGACGAGGCCGAAAGGTTAACTGAGAGGCAGAGCGATAACGGAGCCGATGAAGTCAAGGAAACATGTGAATAGTGGAAAATTAAGTGCTAAAAAAAGTAATTGATCGTTTGGAATTAGCAAATTCACTTTAAATATCATGGATGAATATGTTAGGCCAAACCATAAAAGTGTTGGTAAGATTTCCAGATCAATTTAAAAACGAGAAAGCAATTTTTCCCTAACACAGTTGATCACCATACAGAACCGTTAATAAAACGTATTTTAGACTATGCTCTGAAATCCGTTTTTATCTCTGCAGTGTACTTAAACCGTAAAATTCTATCAAAGATGAATAATCTTACAATTTGTTGTGTAGCATATTTGTGTGTTTTTGTTACATATCCAACTCTCACAAACATATAAATATTGCCATAGTAAATGAAAGTGGTATTTTAACCAATATTACGAGGTATTAAAAGATAAAATGGGCAGTTTCACACTTGAATATTTGAAGCAGAACCTTGTACAACCCACTGCTGTGTAAATGTCCCATTTTGAAAGAAGGGATAAGGAACTTATAAGTCGATTTTTCTACAGTGACCGATGACTTTAGGTCTTTGTTCCTTATAAAATGAATCTTTTTAACAGTGGGAATCACATTTCAGGTCACGAGCCCCGTTGAGAAGGACGTTTGCGAATTAATTGAAACAACTCATTTTATAAAGCAGAAAGTGTAACAATGATCGACCTAATGTCATCGGTTACTATAGAAAAATCCTATTGTATTTTCATCAACACAATAATGCTGCACACCTTAGTAGCTACATGACTAAATCTTGTTCTATTACATCTAAGTTCTTTATTCTTTTTAAGCAACTAATCTGTTGATTAATACATTTTCATTTTCACTATTTTACTTTATATTTTCAACATTTTTAGCCCATATGTATGTACATATTTAGATACATGTTACGAATGACATAATTTCTAGCCCTGATCATAGAAAGGTTGTTTTTTATTAATTATTTAACGAAATGAAGTTTAAAATGAATCTTTTCTTTCAAATGTAACCCAATGTCAAAAGGTCGTGTCAAACAATCGTTTCCTCTTACCTCAAAACTCAGTTCAGAATCTTTCACGCAACTTCCCACCGCCAATGGTTGGCTCACAACTCTTCGCTCTTTCAGTTCCT